CTGGTCATGGTGACCGCTTTTTCTAGGTCCCAAAAATTTCCCCATTGCCATAAGCATTAAGCAACCTGCCCAAGGTGACCACCTGGCCAACACGACGCCCTTGAGTTGGATCCGCTCAAGGCTCGATACCTGTCCATGGTGACCACGTCATTTTCGATCATGTTGATTATTGATGCTATCTAACTAATGAGAAATCATGGAGAAACCAGCCACTTTGCCTCGGCTGCTGGATGATACTTTTATTCGACGTAAATTGTTCCATGTGCCACCCTTCCAATATGCATTCACCACAGAACTGAAGATGCTTACAGGACTTAACATTAAAACATCTTGACTTGGAAACCATTATGCCTCAGTCATGTTGTGAGGTGACTCTCTTCAAGGAGATCACCTGTCCAAGGTGACCACTTTTCTTTGGTCCCCTGGGTGGCCGGCTTGTACAGGTTTGACTGTAAAGAAGTTACTCCAGGAAGCTACTAGTAAAATGTTCATTGCCTACTCCACTGCCCCGTGTACAACTCCCAACGATCTACTCTCCTTGGCAAACTATCCAGGCTAATAGGACACACCCTAGATTTTACAACTCTTTCTGACAACGCAAAAACTGACCTTTTACTCCGTGGCAGTCCCACATTCTCATCAGTTGTCAACTCCAATATATTATCACTTACCCAAACTTTATCACCACATCAGAACGTTTTAAAAAGATTTCAATTTCCCCCTTTGTTATCTATGTATTGTGTCCTCTCTTTGCCATCATTTATCATTGGGTGGGGAACCGGACTTGCGCTTTTGAATCTCCTGTATTTACTGTTTTTTTTTGCCTGTCTCAAAGTTGCGTTTGTTTTTTCTTTATTATATGTATTTATTTAGTGGTGCCGTACACATAAGTGCTTTTCACTTGAGTGCGGCATCACCATGTCTTGTACCTTTTTCTATGTGAATGAATAAAAAAATGTTCTTACTCTGTTCAGAACATGCGGCTGGTGGTCACACAGCTAGAGCAGGGCGGGAAGGGTCTGGGGACGGCTCACCTGTACCAGTCCTACTTCGTCTGCGTCACGGAGAACCCGGATGCGGGGACAACGGTCGTGCAGTACGGCAAGACCCCGGATAACGAGGTACAGTGGCAATCATAGGTTTGAGGTCGTGTGGGGTCGTGTGGCAATCAATCTTCCCAAGGGCACAAGATTGGTGACATGTCACGACTCGAACCCGGGACCTCTTGGTTCCGAGTCGAGAACTCTGCCGCTACGCCACACGACCCCGCTTCAAATGCATTTTTGTCTTGCTGCTGTGCCGCAGTTTTACAACTTACAACTGATCTACAGGAACGGGCACACGTCTGGCTGGATCACCAATTCGACGAAATGCTGGCCATTCAGTACTACGCGTTCGGAAGCGGCGCTCACCCAGTGAAAGTCATGCGGGTGTCTCGAGTGGATCAGCCCGCCGAAGACTTCATCATTTGTCGTGAAGGAACATCAAAACGGGGCGGAAGGTGTGTGCAGCAGTGTCACGTCGAGTGTGATGGTAAGAGACCCCATGCTGAGTTCATAAATATAACTTTCGTCCCCTTGCACAGAGGAACAGACGGTCGTAATTGTTGTTGTTAAGAATCGACAAGTATAATAAAGAGTATATTAAGGCACTATCCTGATATGTATTAATATATAATTGTGGTACGCCAAATGGCGGTTACATGGCTAATACATATAAAGAAGTTGGCGTGTTTTACGTTAATTAGGTACATAATGTACGGACTCGGCAGTTCGGTGGACTTTTCATCGGGCCACAATATGATCAATCTTTAGGGGTTTCCTAGCTACAGAGATTTTATTTCTAGGTTGCCGGACCACCGGATCGGATACCCCGCGGGACTGCATCGCTTGCATGAACGTGAAGGTGCCGTTCCCGTACATCGACGGCTCGGCTGGGGACTTCGAGTGTGCCGCGGCCTGTCCGGCAGCCATGGTCCTCACGGCTGGCACCAGCAGCTGCGAATGTATGTCTTTGTTTTCCGAACAGATTCTATAGGTGCATTTATGTTTGCCAGCTGCACTATGGTACCCTGGATGCCTAACTAGTATCGGGCCGTTAGCCGTTTTCCTTCGGCAGCCAAGAGCCCTTCGCCCGCCTATCTGAATTACCGCTACGGGGGAGTTGAGCCCGAGGGGTTTGTCCGGCCCTATTACTATTACTATCGTTTGTAGGGCCAGTCAAACTTCCCCCGGGCTAGACTCCCCCGTAGTGGTAATTTACACCAGCGGGCGAAAGGCTCTTGCGACCCGGAAAAACGAGTTATGGCTTCCAGGGTAGCACTATATGGTTAATACTGACCGAAGGAGCCATATACGTCTTGAAACAGTCTCGCACTGTAGCTTTACATAAGAATCGTCGGCAACATCTCATCATCTTTCTAATTAATCTGACTAAAATTTCATCAGTCACAGCTCACAGAAATATCCAGTATTTACTAAATGCTGTTACTGAATGCTGTTTTTTTTCATCTTCTTCTTAGCCTCATTCGGGAGCTTGTAAAAAAATTACAAATAGAAAATTATTTCCATGCATATCAGTTGAATCACTTAAAAATATTTTAACTTATAACTTTAAAAAAACCTTGCCAATCACACTCGACGTGTCTGTTATTTCATGTTGTTTTTCCATCTTTTTCGATGTAGGTATTAAGAGAATAGAGGACGCTTCTGCAGAGGGCAGAATCGAGTGTTTGGCGCAGTGTCCTCTCACCCACTATGATGACAACAACGTGTGCAGGAGTACGTATGTCACTGCATCTAAGTTATACCGTTATGCTAAGGTCACATTTCAAAGCCGGAGCCCGGCCAGGCTGTCTACATAACCGGAAAAGAATTCGGAGATCTCATACCTCCATGAAATATGTGATTGTGAGTTTTTGTAAATGTTTTTACACAGTGCACTACAGTGCAGAACAAAATAACACAGGTTTTGTTTTCAAACACATAGCTAATACAGTAGCACCCATGGCCTGAAATAGGTCAGGCTGTAATAGATCTGGTCAACTCAGGGGTCAACTGTACATGTAGCCTATTCCAGAGGGAGAACCTCATTAATCAAACCGCGCTTCAGCTGCCTCCACACGTGTTATGCCCCGCACATTTGTTTTCCCTGCCTTGCAAAAAGATACAAAAACCGGAAGAAGTTCTGCTGCACACACACACATGCACACACACACGTACACACACACACACACACACACACACACACACACACTAGACACGCCAAAAACAATACCTCCATTTTTCATGGAGGTAAAAATAATTAAAAAAAAATACATATTAGAAATGCATGGTGAACATAAATGGTGCTCATTGCTATTTTAGTAAAAAAAACAACTTTTGTTGTCTTTTATATAAATCATACTTTCCATTCCCCAGAACTGCCCTCCCGGACCGTGGATTGGGAGTTGTGATTTTAGCATTACATAGCAGTAAGCACTCGCCCCTACTGGTAAGCGCCACGTTAAGTCATTTTCAAACGCCTATGAGTTCTTCCTTTTCTGATTCAGGATGTAACAGTCTCTGTGCCGATGTCAGTGATAGTGGCAGAAGGGTCTGCACCGGGCCCGACGTTCCCCACTGTACGGCCTGTCGCTATACACATGCCGACGGAAGCTGCACTGAGGGATGTCGACCAGGACAAAAGGCAGTCTCTTCAGGTAATTCAGGTAAGAATACTGCTTTCTCTTCAACTTTGAAGAAGGTGATCGAGGAGGACATATAGGCCTGGGCGATGTTGAAGTATCCTTGGTCATGCGTGACAGGAGACTTTTGGAGACAGTACCAGAAGGATGAACTGAACTAAATGGGAGTTAAACACACACACACCACTACCAGTTGGCAAGCCCCTACTGTAGTAATTGCACAACTGTGTGACCCAAGGGCTGCGAAACGGAGATGGCCGCGCCATATGCAATTATGCAGATGGTTGCGGGAGGGCTTTGGCTACTAGTTCAGATTCCATTGGTTTTCCCAACAAGAATATTTTTGCAAATTTCAGGATGTCAAGATAAACTCGGGATGGAAGATGGTACCATACCTGACAGCGCAATTACTGCATCCTCCAAATGGAGTCCTCTACACGAGCCATTCCTCGCACGCTTGAACGGAAGATCTGGTGTTGGTTGCTGGTCAGCCGGCACCAACTCTCGAGGACAGTACTTGCAGGTAGAAAGAGAGAGAGAGAAGTGAAGTGAAGTGAAGAGAGAGAGGTGGAGAGAACGGGGTTGTGGAGAGAGATGTAGATGAAAGGGGAAGAGAGAGAGGTAGAGAGAGAGAGAGAGAGAGAACGGAGTTGTGGAGAGAGATGTAGATGAAAGGGGAAGAGAGAGAGGTAGAGAGAGAGAGAGAACGGGGTTGTGGAGAGATGTAGATGAAAGGGGAAGAGAGAGAGGTAGAGAGAGAGAGGAAGAGAGAGAGGTGGAGAGAACGGGGTTGTGGAGAGAGATGTAGATGAA